ACCTTCCCCTGGTGAAGCCATGCTGGCTTGATTAAAATTTTGAAGTATTTAGATTATAATTTAAGCATTGTAATTGATTTTTATTATTTTTTTTAAAGCAAGTTATAGTTGTTTAATATTTGGAAAAAAATGTGGATCATGTTTCCACCAGTGACTAATACAGCAGTTATTCTCATCACTGAGTTTCCCAAAAGAAGCAATTAACTGAGTTCCTCACTTGGAAATTCCTAAAAGAATTTAGAGAGTCCTTTGGGGAAATAAGTGTATAGAGTTACAATGAAATAGGCTGTTTCACCCTTTAATTGCTAAGATCAGATGAAGATGTATCAGTGTGGACCCAGCTAATAGGTAGATGAATGCTGATTCAGTGCTGGCTTTGTCGGTGTCGGGTGCAGAAAGAAGCAATAGTTCTCTTCATCTCCTTGAAGCCTCTGGAAAGCCTTTAACGGGTTTGATCCTTCATGGTATTATTACGTGTTCAACTAATTATTTCCCATGACCGAAATTTTTCATGAGCTACTGCTTCTCAAGATAAAATTTCTATATATTAAGTGTTGTTTAGATTTCTTATTCCTGGATATATAACCTTACTTCTGGCTGCCTGACAGTATGTGGAACATAGGTCTGTTTTGTCATGCTCTTGGCTCTGCTCTTTATTGCATGTTTCTAGAAACATTTCTTACTGAGTGCTGATTCTCTCTTTTCAGTTACATTTTGAGATCTTTTAAAATCCATTTATGTTCTAGACTGACTTTGTGTCATGTTTCTTAACCAAAAAAGTGTAACATTCAAAGGTTGCAGAAAGATCCAAATACATTATAACTTTTCAGCCAGGACATTATTTTCAGTTACTGTTGGAATGAAACTCTGTGCTACAACATTATCTGGCTTTCCCCAGATGTAAAAAAGAAATATTAAATGACTACCTCCTCTCCACAGTCACTGAAAATTTTACCCCTTCCTTCCCATATATGATTTTTTTTTTTCCTAATCTACCTGAAGAATTGCTACTTACATCAACGACCAACCTAACCATAAGTTTCTCTTTGGAGCCCCTTAATTCTCTTGTTGTTTTTCTGCAAGTCATAGTTTCTGCTTTATACTCGTTACTTCATTCTCTTCTTTCTTCCTTTCCTCCTAACATTCAAGTTGATGAAATAATTTTAATGAATGAAAACTAACTTGCTCACAAAAACAAAGAAAAAAAAAATCATACTTACAAGTGGGCTTATTTCTACCATATCAGCAGAATTGATCCTGTCAGCCTGTCAGTTATTAGCAGTTTGTGTTGTAGTTAATAGAAGCATTGATTATTTAATCAGAAATATTAAGTAGTTACTTTAAACATTTTCTGGTTTGTAATTTAGGTTGCTTCATTTTCTGTTTCTGTTTTCTTGGTGGCAGAGAGTCTAGTTGATTCTAATAGTGATGAATCAGATTCAGATCAGTCTGATGTTCCAGAGCTGGACTCTGAAATTGAACAAGAAACACAGATCACCTATCGTCGACAGGTAAAGATTGTAGTTTTAATGGCACTTGGAGTGCTTCCCGGGGTTTAAGTTTGTCTTATGAAGACCTGTTGAAATCTGAGAACTGGGGAGACTGAGAGCTGAGCAGGAACTGACCAAAACCTTTAGAACTGTTATTATCTGATGCATTCAAAAATATTAAGATACAATAGAGGAAAAAAGTGATTACATGTATTTCTAGGATGTTCTGTTAGAGTTTTGGTTGTAATTTAACAAGTTACACTGTACAATAACTAGCTAGCATTATTGGAGATTTTTTCTGTGATGTCAGTATAACATTTTTGTGGGTGACAACAGTGTCTGAATTCTTGGAAACATGCTTTTGTTATGAATGTTTCAGTTTGTAAGTGTGCTCTTTCTTATAGGTTTACAAAGAAGATCTACCTCAACTTAAAGAGCAATGCAAAGAAAAAAGAAAAAGTGCAGCTTCTAAAAGACGAGAGCGAGCTCCAGGGAACAGTATAAGATTACATTTTGTTCATGGGTATGAAAACTAGGATTCTTGAAAATATACAAGCAGACTATTTGTGTTTTGTAGACTGTTGTTTATAATTTAATAATCTTGCTTTGTGATTTACTTTGTGATTAGCCGTAGACTAGTTCTGAACGTGAATTCTGAAGTAAATTTGCACTGAAACTTCAGCTGATACTTATTATTTGAATAGAGGTGACTAAATATAATATTTGGCTGTCACCCATATTTTTTCAGTATCTGGGAAGTAGTTCTCTTTGGAGTATTATTTTGGAAGCTATGACAGAAACTTGGTTTTGTTGAAGATGACTGGGTTCTGTACTAAACTGTTCTATTAAGAAAAAAGTATAAACTGTTTGTACCTAATCTGAAACAATTTACACGTTCGTCTGTTAGTTTAGGAATTAAATTTAATTCTTAATAGGTCCTGTAAGTGTGTTAAAATTCAGTTTCATTCTTTTTTTGGTGCTAATTTGAGTAACAAAATGACTTTCAGATGCGTCCTTGAAATCTCATAGTTTCTTCTTTAGGATTGGTCGTCTCCCATAACTCTTCGTAAGTGAAGACTTTTTCACCAGGACAAAGATGTGGTGTTTTAAAGCAAGCTGGCAGTAGATGTTACTACATTAGAATAATGATCAGAAATATAAAGTCTCTTGATACAGAGCAAAACCAAAGCCTTTATTAGATTGAGGCATTGGAAATCGGGTATTATTGTGTTTTCCTTTCAAAGGATACCTCTTTGCAGGAATACAACTTATTTTTAGAAATAATCAAATGCACAGATAAGTTACTAGTGCTGTCTATCTTTATAATGACACTTAAACCATTTCAGAAGGGCTCCACATGGAATGCTTCATAAATTAATTGGCTAAGAATAGTTAATAATTCAGCTTAGCAATTTTGTCTGTAGAAACATGGGATCTGAGGAACAGCTTTGGAAATATTGACAACTGGGAAGCTTGATACAGAGTTGTTTTTTTATTTCTATTTTTGATGCTCCAGAATTCTCAGTTGAAGTTTTTTTATATCTGTGTAGAAAATGCATTAAGGTGCATAGCTGTATGTAGTCTTTAAAATTTGGTCTAAGAATCGGACCAAATGATCCTGAAGAAGATGTAGCACAAGCAAGGGCCCTGGATCTTTGGGATTATTGTTATTTCCTTCGCAACAGAAGTGAAGCTTGACCAGAATATCCAGGATTGGCCAGAAGTAGAATGTCCAATTGTGTTCTGTCTGGTTACCCAGTGGGCATCAAGGACACTGATGAGGAATCCGTGCTGAACAACAGATTTTTCTCAATGTCCAGGCTGTTAACTTTAAAGTGACCCCCATCCAAGTGAGTAATAGGTATATTGTCTGATTCAGGAAGTCTGCTTCGCTTCTTCTTTCTTTAGCTGCAATGGGAATGTCTTGGATGTTCTTTAAAAGTGTAAGAAGTGGTGCTTTTTTGAAGTAGGGGAATAGGAAGCTCTTTTTCCTTTCTGTACTTTCGAGCGGATTGGTTTTGTGTTTTGAATTTGTCAACTGCCTTGAAAGATGAACATTAAAAAATCTCTTCATATCCTGTAAGAAATCTTTTAAAGCTCTGGTTGCTTACTGTTTTGGAGGGGGATAAAAACAATAATTCTGAGTATGTGAGCCAGCCACTGACTAATACAGATGAGAGAGCAACTTCTGTTAACAGGTTCATCTTTAAGTGCATCTTTCTCTAAGAGATCTGATGCAATCATGATCAGACACTTGTTATTAAAGTGGTGTACTAGCTTGGCCTCTTTTTGACTATTTCTATATTTTCTTTCTTCCATGTCTCTGACAGTGGTGGTGGTGGTTCAGAAACATAAAAAGAATATGTCTTTTGAGATATTCAGAGGAACCCCTTTCTGAGACTCGATGCTTGTTAATACTTTTGTTGTGCTGGCGCAGGGCATAAGGATGCAAATATATAAGACTTATGTCCTATATTCTCTCAAAGCTATGCTGCTGATCTCAGAAGAATGTTTTGGGGTGGGTTTGTTTTGTTTTGGTTTTGGGGCTTTTTTGTATTCAAAGGATTTAAGCAAAATCTAGTTTGAGTTTCAGGATATTCATTGAAGTGACCTTTTAAGATAAAATTTGGTTATGGTTTCAGGATGACATGGGATTTTTCAGGCTCTTAAATGAGAGTCATATGACACCCTGCATGGTTTCCTACCAGAGGACTACAAACAGCATGTGAAGGGAGTAGGCTATGAGTGCGTCCTCCTGAGAAAACACTGTTGTCGTGCAAAAGTATTTTTTTAAAAATATCTCTACCTTTGTACTAAAGACTCTGACCTCCACCATATTTATTCTGACATTTGGTGGTTCTGGAGATTTTTTGGGGAGGGTTGCACTATGTTTGGAAATTTCCCATATATTCTTTGAAGAGTAACACACAAATTTTGAAACCCAGCCTCAGACAAACTATAAACTCTCTTCCCAGAGAGGAAACTACTTGGGAAGTTGCCCCTTTGTTGTCTGTACGGGTGTAACTTGCAACTGTAGGTAGGATCCAGTTTCAGATTAAAGAATTTACAATTGTGTGCCTAAAGGTAGGTGGGTTTATGTGTGTATCTAAACTTCCCATCACAGTCAATGGAGATCCAGTCAGTAGTCGGTGGAGCATAAGGAGTGATTTGGCTCAAGTAAATTTAGATGCTGACTGGTTGGTCAGCTGAGTAGCCCTGCAGGTTCCATTGACTGTAATGACTAGAACACTTGATTAAAATGTAGGTGTTAATATGGCTAACACACATGTGAACACCTATGTTTACATGTCTTAATCCCAAACTGAATCCAGTCCCTGCTCTTCATGACCTTGGTAATAGTAAATTTTTTTTCCTACATAGCATCGAGGTAGCTGTCTTTTCTTCTGAAAGTTACTGTCATATTAATTTGAGTCAGTCCTGGATTGATGGTTTGATTAGTTGTTGCTGAAGACCATTTGAAAACATCAGCTACTGCAGAATGTACTGTTATGTTTATTGTGCCCTATATGTTATCCAGTAAGTGTGATGCAGAACTTCCTTTTGTTATTTAGTTTCTAGTTGCTAATTAAGATGCCTTGTAACTTACTCGTCTGGTTTGTTTTCTGCATGTGAATGAATTGTTTCTCTTCATGCTTTTTCTGAGATTAGCTAATAGTCTCAGTTCTAAATTGGTTTAATAATATGGAGATACAAGAATTGTCAAACTGTGTAGCATATTCTCAGGGATGATCTTCTGTACTGAAAGATGCTGCTTTTTGTCTCTACTTGGACTGTCGAAGCCCATCACTTTATCCTTCTGGTAAAAAGTACCAGTGTAGTCTGGGAGTTAGTAAACTGGCATGTGGGAAAGACCAGATGTGTTTAACTGGGTTACAGAATGTCTTTGTTTGCACTGCTTGATATTTTGGCAAAATGTTTTATTTTAATTGTAAACAACCGATTGTACACCTTTTTTTTTTTTTTTTTTTTTTAATAATTGTAGGAAGTGAACTAAAATCCAAACTTCTGGTCATAAGAAGTTATACATATGAGCAATAAGAACTATTTTCCTGCAGCCTAGATACATTTTTGATGTTTTGGGTAGTCCTGTGCTATATGGCATTAACATACTCAGTTTCACTATGCTTCACTTAAGGTATATAGGCAATTGTTATGACAAGAGCCAGGAAAATTCTAAATTTCTGCATCATGGGTAGAAGGATCAGAGGCCCTTTTGCTGCCTTAATGCTTTTTACTTTCATAGGTGACTATTAAGCTTGTAAGAAATTGCTGTGTCCAGTATTTCTAAAGCATTTTTTCTTTCAGCATACATATTTTTGAAACCACTTTTTAAAATATGCTCATATTCAGCTTTTTTTTTATTATTCTGCACTTGCAAAGGAAATCTGGTATTTTAACAGAGCACAGTGCAGAGGGAAGCATGAGAAAATGATGTCTGAGCAGCAATGGGTCCAGATCTCTTCTTTGGCACTGTGCCTGCCTTTGTAATCCCTGCCCCTCAGTGAGTGTTGTCATGTCCTTAAACTGTTGATGTTGCATACTGGGATAGGTTATTTTTTGTTCTTTCTTCACGGTTACTGCAGGTCGCTATATTATATCCCTTTAAAAACTAGTGGCTGGACATCAAAGGAGGATACAGCCAGGCAGGGCAAGCAGGTAACACTTTGGGTCATGCAGAAATCAGCTTCAGAACATCCACATGTGTTGCTACTGGGGGAAGTTGTTAGTGAAGGATATGAGTGGAGGGAGAGCGAAGCATGAGTGGAGTCTGCACCTGTATTGTGATTCTCAGTTGTTGGACACTTTGAAAAAAGCAGGAAGCAGACAAATAGCTGACCCTCAGAGCTAATGAAAAGAAGAGAGATTTTTCTAGAGACGTTGAAGGGACAGTGACTCAGGAGACACTGAAAAGTTGCTGGACTGGGACCAAAACTGAAGTTAAGAACCTACCTGTGAGTAACAATCTAAGTGGGTTGGAGGGAGACTTATTGAAAAGCTTTTATTTCTGTGCTATCACAGTTTTTGCTGGTTTAAATTCACTTTGTTTGTTTGTGATCTAATGAGACCCAGCTTTGGACATCACATTATTGCAGAAAATACAAAAGTGGTAGGAGTGGCTGGTACACCAGATGGCTGTGCTGTTTTCAAGATGGACCTGGACAGGCTAGGGAACTGGGCAGGGAGGAATCTCCTGAACTTCAAAAAGGGAAAATGCAACATTCTGCATATGGAGACAAATGGACCTAGACCATCCACTGATCTGTTTAAAGACTTTCTGAGATTATTTTAGCAATTTTTCTCTAATCATGTATGATCTGACATAAGTACCATTGTGTGTAGTGTAAGTGAGACAACAGAAATACAGCATGTTCAGACCTGCTGCAGATACGTGCTGTGGTGTTTTCCAGTGATGCGCAGGTGAATATGAATCCATATTTGTGGATATGGATCCATGGCTAGAGTTTTCAGAATAATATTCATTAAGCTAAGGTTGGTCAGCTGCCTTAAAGATTCATCACTTGATCAGTGCATACGGTTGCACCGTGTATGCAGGGAAAGCTATGTATAATTTTAGGAAAGACTTTTCTACCTGAACTGCATCATTTCTGTGTCATTTAAACCTTTTAAGTGTCTCATATGCAGTAGTTGTCTTAATGCTATCCCACTCATTTTGTGTATGACATTTACTGGTATGTGTATAGATGTATCTTTGTCTTATGTGATAGTTTAAAGACCTGCACTGTTGTAAAAAGGTCCTGCATTTGTTTTCTTCTTAAAAATAATGTAGTTCGTTCTGATGATACATGCTTTTAATTAAGCAAAGAAATTAATATCGTGAGAAGTATAACAGAAATTAGAGATTTCTGTTAGTTTGCAGTTGCTGATGATGAAAGTTTTGTTATTTTGTTTGCCAAGAATGAGTTGCTGATAATCTTCAGGGCTTTTTTTTCAACTAGTTCAATTAGAAGTTGGGTGCAAAAATACTTAGAGCCTTATGATCCCTAAATAAATACAATTCATGGCCAATTCAAACACGTTCAAGTGTCATTCCCTTCCTGTAAGTTTAACTATATATTTAGAAATGTAACCAGATTTTGCTTGCATCTTTGTATATAGTTAAAAAGTTGATTTAGTGAAGATCTCTAAGAACAGAAGAAAGAACAGAAAGAGGTTAGGTGGAGAATTAATACCAACGAAACAGGCTAACCCACCACAATGAAGTATTGTTTATATCAGAAGAAAGGAAGGAATTCATTTAGGTTGCGCATATTTAGACATTATCTCCATTGAGTGCCAAGGATAGCATTATTAAAAACACTTGCTTGTTTGTGTAATGTTTTTTAGGTTTCTGAACCTCTTCAATTACTTGTAAAAGTAGGACCCTAGCCTTTTTGAAAAATGCCACCTTTGGTTTTTATGGGGTACTGAATCTTAATCACACCTAGGAAGAAACGTGTGTACTGTGACAGTGCATATAGACCTCAGTGGGGAATTGGCCTACTCGTGCCGGTTCCTGTATCAGTACAGAAAGGAGACAGATTTTTCTTTAAAAAGAAACTGATCTGGAAGAAAATTTATGCATTTGTTTTCTATTAGCAAGGTTCCAGAAACTTTCAGTTTTATGATATCTGTGATGTCCATGTTCTTGTGGAAACTTTTGCTGTGTGATTTTTGAGCAGTAAGAGATAGAAAATGTTCAAAATATTAGTTTTGGCTATTTCATTTAAATACATGTTGCATGCCCGAATTCTCCATGTGGTCTGGAAAAACTACGAGCTATTACTTCCTCTTCCAAAATAGTTGTGGAGAGTAACTGTTAAACAGCAGCCACTTTCTAACTAATGCTGGTAGTACTGATGTCTGAATAGTAAATCAAAGCGATAAATGGGTGTTCCTTTGGGAAAATATGTTAATAATCTTAAAACACCAAAATAATAATTGGTAAGTAATCTGAGTTTTTACATGTGCAAAATGCAGCTTGCATAATTTTATCTCAAAATGTCAGTATATATGGTTATGACCTTGATGAACAAACTTTTTATCTTTGATTAGTTACAGAGGTTACGACTGTCGAAGCAATTTATTTTACACTCAGACGGGTGAAATTGTATACCATGTTGCAGCAGTAGGAGTGGTGTACAATCGACAGCAGAACACACAGCGCTTTTATCTAGGTCATGATGATGACATTCTTTGCCTTGCTATTCATCCTTTAAAGGACTATGTGGCAACCGGCCAGGTAGGATGCGTGTTTGTCTGCAGTAAGAATCTGAAGTTGTTACTGGTGAATTTAGAAAAGCATATTTTGGAGGAAGGAAGTCCAGTCTACATTTATTCAGGTGAAGGACTGTTGCAGATGGAATCATGTTAAAAAACTGCAACTTAAGTGTTTTTTCCAGTTCTTTATATTAATTCTGATAAGAGTCTTTAGTTGACAGGTTTTTGAACCTCTTTTTATTTAAGAATAGATTCATGTTTTTTTCAACATTACATTGCTTCTTCATGATAACAAGTGGAGGAGATGTGCAATTAAAATATATTATTTTAGTATCTTAGTTGTGAAATTAGCTGTGTTATTATTACATTCATGTATTATTACATAACATGAAGTTAGCAGTTGTTACATTCTGGCATTTCAGTTTCATGCATTATGTTTTTGGTTATCACCTATAGCCAGACTGTTTACTGTTTGTGCATGCAACACAGGTATGTATGTTGCTAAAGTATTTATAATAGTTCATTTTATCTTTTGCCAGAGATTAATTTTAGATAAATTTTTTTCACTGACAAACATCTCTTCCCATAAATGTTCATATATCTGGACTTGAAGGTTTGATGTTTCAGGGGTTTTAAATTATTATTATTCTTATAGAATCATAGACTGGTTATGGTTGGAAAGGACCTTAAAGATCGTCGAGTTCTTATCATTCTTGTTATATAATAAGTTGGAGAACATATAAATGGAAAATTTTAATAGAAATAACCTTTTGCTCATGATGCCCTTAATTTGTGTAAAAGTGTTTGAGATTAATATCAATTTGCAGTTAGTTTAGAGATTAAAACCCTAAATGTGAGAACTGATTCTATGTAGTTTTGGAGTAGTAAAGACTATGAATAAAAATGTGCCTGGATTTACTGTATTTTAAATTACCTTATGCTATCAACAGAAAGATACACACCATAACGTACTGTTTTATATATACATATTATGTACTGTTGTTTACTGTATTATCTGCAGAAATTAGTTAATGCAGTAATCAAATTCCGCATGCAACACTAGTTCAGATTTTCCTGATATTGGATGTTACAAAAGGCTTGGCAAACATCACATATTAAGTTTTTGTCAAAACCAGAAATGTATCCTAGTTTTCTTGAGTCCTGCCTCTTGTGTTAAACACAGGAGATTGTTCTGGTTTTACAGCCCTTTCTTGTGTACTGAGGTGCAAAACCTTTGGAATAACAAGTATTTTTGTAAATATTGACTAATAATGCTTGTATATAGTTGAAAAGAATAAACTATATTCCATTTCTTACCAAGTTCTAGTTACCTGCATTAGTACAGCTCTAGTGGAGATTCCTCCACAGGTATTGATCAATACATTAGACTCTGACTTGTAGGCACTTGTAATGACACCAGAAAGCAACAGAAGTCCCCTTGATTTCTCAAATATAGAGTAGCTTGCATACTAGTAATAAAATAACCTTTTATTTTTAGATGGGGAATGATTGATATTTGATGTAATAAATATGCCACAGTGCAATCAATGAAGGCCTTTTTAAAAAAAAAAATATTTTCCCCCACAAGAGGACTCTAGCTAATTGTGATTAATATCCCCGCGTTCTTTGGAAGGAAGAATGAGCCAGCTGGGGAGTGGTATTGGTAAAACCAGAGAGAAGTAATACTAGGAAAATTTTATCACTGTAACTTTTTTCAAACATTTTTTTAAAGTACTTGCCAATCTTATACTTTTAAACAGCTGTGTGAAGTAACTGAGAAATAAAAAAAATGGTTATAAATATGTGTACTTTCAGGTTGGTCGAGATTCCTCAATACACATTTGGGACACAGAAACAATAAAACCACTCTCAGTATTAAAGGGCTATCACCAGTATGGTGTTTGTGCTGTTGATTTTTCAGGTAATGCGTATTTATTTATTTATAAACAATTTTCCTTTTCTTTATGAAAATACAAGCTAATCAGTTCTAATGAGCAATTGGGAATTCCTTTACACTGAAGATTTTTGTATTAAAAAAGTTCTCCAGTGATAAATGTCGAATGAGAGAGACTTTCTTAAAGTGATCATTCATTAAAAAGAGCTCCTCTGTAGTCTTTCGCATCAGGAGATGCAAGAACAGGTTCCGTGCTCTTTAATAGCTGAACTGATCACTTTGGAATTTCTTTTGGTTGTATGAGGTAGGTGCACAGATCTTAAGTGTTGTGTCTGCATTACAACTGTGTAAGCAAATTTTTGAGCAAATTGTCCAGGTGTGCACTGTTAAAAAATTAAGTCCTGCAAACCAATTGGGTAGCACACTGATAAATTCAGGAAGTCCAGCTATGGAGGAGTTCTGAGTGGAAACCCAGCCTCTCTCTCCACCTTATACTAACGTAAGAGACTGTCAGTTAAGTCTTCTGAGAGTTTTTGCACCCCTTACATTGAATTCCTGTACCAGTGTTACATTTCCTCTTCTCCACTGGCTTCTATTCTTTCTTTAATGGTTTTGATATACTAGATAGGATCTCTAACCCCACAGTGAAGATGTGTGATCACAAAAATGAGTAGTTTAGGGTCTTTGAAGCTTCTTACCTTTCTTTGGTTCTCCTTTTTCAAGATGTGAATCTCATTTCCCAAATTCTGGCATGGATGCATAGCAATTTCAAAGATGGATACATGTCAGAAAGTTGTTGATCACAAGTGAGCGTAAATAACTTCTTTCTTTCGGGTTAATGTGGGATATGTGTCAGAGCTTCTCAAAGACTTCACGCTATTACTAAGTTTAAGGGTATTTAATGAACTTCATGGTATTGCTTCAGTGCTTTCTAGTTTAGAAATGAACAGGGATTTTCAGAGTGAACAGAAAATTCTCACAGTACAACCTGTGATGAAGGTTTTTGTGCAAATGTGTCAGCAACTAGCTGAACAAAAGATTTGACACAAACACAGAGGATCTAAGTGCAATTTTTAGACAGGGTAACTTAAAGTCCTGACCTCCCATCCAAATGGCCACTCAAGCTTAAAAGCAAACACACAACAGACATGCTTCTAAGCACGTCATACAATTATTTGCCTGTTTGTACATTCTTCTTATAATATTTGTGAAGTTATAATATTCTTTAATATGGTTTCTAATTATTGCAACATAATGTTATCTATCTACTTTCTTAATCATAAATTTATTTTTCTAGCGGATGGGAAACGATTGGCTTCTGTTGGAATAGATGACAATCACGCCATTGTACTCTGGGATTGGAAGAAAGGAGAAAAACTTTCAGCAGTAAGGTAGGAATTTAACTTTGTTTTAAAATTTGTACCTAAATTTACTCTCAAATGACAACAAGCAAAACACATTAATTAAAGAATAATAGTTCTCTAATAAACCAGCAGTTTCTATCACTTAAGTGATACAGGTGATAACAGTTATCACAGCCTTATAACTTTGGAAGAAGAAACTGAAGCTCTCATAGAGTCAACAAGAATTACTATAGTGACAGTTCAGCTGTTGAAGAAAGAAGACATAGAAGACAAAGTTTATTTACATTTATTTGATGTGTTCTGACATAACTTCTTTAAAACTCGCTCCATGCACTTCTGTTGGCCCTCCCAGAGATGGTGATGTATGCTCTGCTTTTCAGATCTTTCTCATCAGAGGTCACATCTTTCTTGGGATAGTAGTTAGCCGTTGTTTTGCTCAGTTCTCTTTTCTTGGAGGTTCTTTCCTTTTTCTAAGACCTGAGTAGCCTGATCGAACTTTGAAGTTAGTCTACTTTGAACAGGGAGTTGGACTAAATAATCTCCAAAGGTTAAATATTTTGGAAGTTTCTTTGATTCTGCACAGATTATTTCATATACTCTTATCAAATAGAGTTTTAATCTTTAAGATAGAATCTTATTTCTAATGTTGAACAATGTTTTTGAAACCTTTGACATTGTTGTTTCTAAGGTCCTGTTGCTTTAAACAGAGCAGTAACGTGAGTTGGTTTTTCTCCTCTCTGGATTCATGTATACTCTAAATGTTGTTCTAGTAGGTTTGAAAGGGATTTATTCTCTGCAGATACAATTTAAAAAGTATAAACTTCCTTTTTATCCATTAAGTTATTGCTCTTCAATGACATTTAATCTCATTTTCTTTTTAAACATGCTTTGAGTTTCTTGTGCACTGAGGAATGAAAATCCTGAATAGATGATGTAGGTAAAGAAGAGTGCTCCCTTCCCAGTTATTTGTCAGAAGCCCAGTTAGCTTTGCTTCTCTGAAGATACTGGTTTGGGCCTTTTGTTTGTTTACTTTTCACATTATTTTTGTTTTAAGCTTTTTTTTTTTTCTTTTTAAATCCTGCTACTTTCTGAACCCACATGTCTCACTTCTTTTTTTTTTAATCAAGCTTTACCCAATTTATACTGGATTTAGTTTCTGGAGTGTTTTTCCTCCTACCTACTCGGAGGAATGGAATAGAAATTTTGAGAGCAGCATCTTTACTTTGAAGATTACAGTGTGAGTTGGGAAAGAAACTGGTTTATGCTTTTTGCTACTAGTTCATTTAGTGATCTGAAAATGATAGAAGGTAAAAGACATTGCCACTCTTGAATAGGGAGCAAAAATTAGGGACTAGAGGCTCTTCTGCATTTTAAAGAAAAAAAACCTACTGGTAAGCATTTCTTTCCTTGCATAGATAACAAACATAGTTGAAAGCTGTTTTTCAAACTATAGGACTGAAGCAAGGCACTGGTTTTAGAGAAGCACAGTAAGACGTCTAAAACACACAACAGGTTTAGAAACAGCTGAAATTCCCATTTAAAATTGATATAGCAGCGTAAGCTTTATTCTAACAAGAAAATTAGAAAAATAAATTAAAAGGTGGATGAGGATGGCAATTTATTTTCAAAATGAGAGACTTTTGAATAAGATTTACAACTTCACACATTTAAGTTTCCTTATGAGCTATCAGAGGTCTAAATGCCGTATTCATAACTTAATGCAATTATGTTTTCTTTAGCAAAGAAAATGCCACCTAGTGGATTTCTGAAGTAATGTAATTACTCACTCGTTTTGGAAACTGAAGGGTAATAAAAATAGAACAGGACTCAGGATGTTAGTTCTTTGGCTTTCTTCTTCCTCATAATAAATTATTGTTAATGATTTGGAAGTAAATGTTAACGAGATAGAGAAGGTATACATTAGCAAAAAAAAAAACCCCAAACCAAAACCTTTTTAAAAATACTAATAGTTATATTTTTATTTAAAATATTTTGCTTTGCATTTCAGGGGAAGCAAAGATAAGATTTTTGTTGTTAAGATTAATCCTTATATGCCTGATAAATTGATTACAGTTGGAATTAAACACATGAAATTCTGGCGTAGAGCAGGTAAGGAAACGTTTCAGAATTACAGCATTTTCTGTTACTTAAAGTGTAAATGTTGCAACACTTATAGTGTATTTCATGCATTGAAGGCAAATGTTTTCTTTGTATATCTATCTAAGTTAGCTTTGCCCTAGCAGAAATAATGTTAATTGGTATTATGGCAGTAGCAGGAATTCTTTTTAAGGTTAATTTGCCATGGAGCTAGAGCTACACAAGCAGAAAGGACCCTGGATTTCCTTCAGTCTGTTTTTATATCTAATAATAATACAGCACATCTGAAAATGTTACAGAGCTGCCTAAAATCATAGAACCATTTTTGGAAGAGGGACCTTTCGAACATGTGTGTTATAAAGAGGCACAAATATGAATAAATTTAAGGTTATAAAAGTCCACATGCAAAAATTCAGACAAAGTACTTGAAGAAAATACATGTGCCAGTTGAGACCTGTTTGCTTAGATACCTCTGAACTTGAGAATTAAAAACCAAGATAAAGCAGCTTGCTTTATCTGCTTGTAAAACTTCTCGCTAAAAATCCATTCCCTGATATTAGCGTGAACTTCACTGTTTCAAACTTCAAAACATATATAAAGACACATGTGCTGCACAAGACTAGTTTATTTTCTAAGAATGTTCTAATTATTCCTCTAGAATTTATGCACATCAATTCACATGAGTCCCTCATAAAGATTAATTGTGGAGAGAAAAGTCTGTGACAAAAAAAGATGACACTAGTTTTCTCAGTTCTGGCTCCAACAGAAATTAATCAAGATTTCCTGAGAGCAAGCTGTTGAAGTCTATATAAATTACTAGTTTTAACACTTGTGCTTGCTATCTATAGAAGAAACAAAGTGTGTCAGAATATTTATGGAACAAATTACTATAAATTCTTTAGAAAGAAATCTTAACTATGGTAAAAGTCTGGAGATGGTGATTTTGAATAAGGAAATGAGATAGTTTAAAATGCCTCTGGCATTGCTCTGTCAGCATGAATCCGCTTTCTCTGATGCTGCAGCCCATCTGTGTGAAACTGCAGTGGCACGCTGGCAGGGCAGTCGCAGTGAAACACACTTAGCAGTGTTAATGTGGGGAGTAGAGTATCAGTGCACCTTAACAAATGCCAAGTCTCTGAAATCTGCACTAGAGCAGGTGCACTTGATGTGAGAAGTGACACCAAAATGTATACTTTAGACTAAATTTTCATCCGTGCCAAGAGATGACCGAGAAGTTCAGAGACCTCGCCTCTGTAAGTACGAGAACAGAATGAAGTGTCAGATCCTGAGGGGCTTCTGTGTTATATGGCATGAAGTTCCTCTGAGCATTGTGAAAATATAAATCCAGCTTTCTAGCCAGAAGTTACTATGTGTTATACCTGTCAAATGATCTTAGATATGGTATTTTAAAGAATTTAAAAATTTATATAGCTGTAACATTTCTGTTATCCTGAGGCCAATATAGTGAACCTCTAAAATAAAATTAGAATTTTTCTTACTGAAAACATATTGTGAAAAGGATGGGATGTCAAATTTAAACTTTTTTTTTTCTTTCAAGATAATTTCATTAGTAATTTCTATGAACTGTGTGGTAGCTATTAAGTTGTTTTACAAATGTATGTTCTCTTTGTATGTCTGTGTACATATTCAAATCTGGATTCAACTCGTAAGGTTTTTTTCCTTGAAAGATGCCAAATAGTACAAAAATTTTATTTTGTGAGATCTCTTCTCAGGCTCGTTTTCTTGGGGACCGTGGGCAAACCAGAAGAAAAGGACTAGTTGCTCTGAGTAAGGTTGTGTAGTTTTTGGAAAATAATTCTAAGCAAACATCTGATGACTTTTTTTTGGTTTGAACCAGGCGGAGGACTAATTGGGAGAAAGGGCTCCATAGGTGCCTTGGGAAGAACCGATACAATGATGTGTGCAGTATATGGCTGGACTGAAGAGATGGCGTTTTCTGGAACTTCCACGGGGGATGTGTGTATTTGGAGAGATGTGTTTCTCATAAAAACTGTCAAAGCACATGATGGTCCTGTGTTCAGCATGCACGCATTGGAAAAAGTAAATAAACTGCTCACTGTTTTTTGATGTCTGGGCAAAAAAGTCTGTGAAGTTAGGCCTTTCCCAAACTCCAGGGCTTTATTTCCATTACAGAAAAGCCTTGTGAGGTCGAGATTCAAAATAGTGTTTTATGCATGTTTCTAATTCTTGTTATATAGCATGCTTTTTCTCAAACCCTTGTGGTCCAGTGACATCTTACTTCATAATTTTCATGGCCTCTTATTAAAGAAATGATAGTAACTTATGATAAGTAGAAGTACTTTTTGATTTAAGCATCCATAAGTTTAATGAAATATGTGAGCTTGTAAGAGAGGAAGAAGATCATACTCTTACTATTTTGTGCTGTAATTACCATCTACTAGTAGAAGCATCCAGTCTGTAGATCACTGAATGCTCCTTCCTAATTCTCAACCTCTTTTAACTCAGGAAATCCTTTAAGCATGTGCTTAAATGTGAATGGATGTTCCAGTTAGATTACTTGTATATTTGAAGTTATGTATATGTTTTTGTTTTGCTAGGTTAGACCAAGTTACTCCACATTCTCATATCTGAGTTTCAATTTAATAACTTTGGAGAGATCATGTGTTATTCATATTGCAAGAACTAAGTTCTCCAAAGGAAACTACTAATGATTTCAGTATTAAGTATACCTCTTGCTTCGTTAAATAGCTGTAAATAATTTTTTAAGACAGAATGGCACAAATCTGCATATGTTTGAGCAATTTAAGCACTAATCATATTTGTGAGTGGTACTAAGTTTGGCTTGGAGTAATGAGGTGAAATGCCAAAGGGATATTGAGGCTAAATATCAAGAAAAACATTTAAGTATGTCAGTTAAATTGTTTTTGTAATATCGTAGAAGCTGGTTGGTTAGAACTTTTCAGTCCAGCCTGTGTACATGGACTGTACAGAACTGTGCTGCCTTCGTCAGGAGAATTCAGTCATTTTGTTGCCTCTGATCTTTTCATTTCTAACATCTGTAGTTCTGTGCATTACAGTGTTGTATATAATCTATGTGCAGTATTGGCAGAAATCACTGAAAAATTAAGGAATGATAATAATTGATTGTAACTTGTGATTTTTTTTTTTTTTTTCCCCCCCCCCCCCCAGGGATTTGTCACGGGAGGAAAGGATGGGGTAGTAGCTCTCTGGGATGATACCTTTGAACGTTGTCTCAAAACGTATGCTATCAAAAGGGCTGCTTTGGCCCCTGGGTCTAAAGGTAACACAGGCTTTATCCTATTTTTCATTCTATTTAAAATACTTTCTTTAGAAAACTTTCTGTGGAATTGCTTTCCCCAGTAGGAGGAAATCCACATTTGACATAATGAATACTAAAAATTATTTTTTTAAAGCTTTATTGATTCTAAATTAGTCACTTTTCTGTTGGGAGGGAAATGGTATGTTGTAGTGTCTCTTTCCACATTTGGTGGGTGCAGATCCTAATATTTACCTTATTATCTGCCTGAATTAATTGATTTAACCTTGAGTCTCTTACCACCTGGGTGATTTTTTTTTTTTTTAAGTGACAACTAAAAATTATATTTCTAATTATGAAGTACCTTGTCTGATCTTTTTTGTTTTGGAAGAGGAAAGGAATTCAGAATTGTGATTAGTTTTGTAATGTATTAGTACATTTTGTGACTTAATTTTCTGTAAATGCCTATGTCTTCTGAAATTATTTAAGAACATTTCCATTCCTATTATTCCTATTTCTTCCGTTTAGCCTTGATCTTAGTGCTGATTTTTTTTTTTCCCTATTTGACATTCTGGATAGCCTTTTCTCTCCACTCTAAAATCCTCCACCTTAAAATTACATTTGCTGTGTTCCAATGTATATGGTTTGATTTTCAAATATAGTGAATGGAAACACCCATTAACTAGAACAGTCTCGTATCTGTTTAACAAAAAGCTAGATTTAAAGGTACCATAAATGCTAGCAATGTAGCAGTATAGTTGCTACTTCACATGCACATTTTTCACTGGCATTGCCAGTGAGTGAGGCTGGTTAAACTTCAGAGATACTTGGTTGGAATGAAAGATTAGTATCAGCTGAGTAATTGCTACATACTCCCAAATGAAGCAAAACATAGAAGATCTTCCATTCAGGAATATGTTTTTACTTGTTTACTACTAAGTATCTTTTTCCCCAGTGGGAATGTCATATGCATATGTGTGAAAAATCCTCTTTCAGGCATACTTGAGAACTTCCTGTCTTCTAACACTTTAACGTTCTAGGTCTCCTCTTAGAAGATAATCCTTCTATACGTGCCATATCTTTAGGACATGGTCATATTTTAGTGGGCACAAAGAACGGTGAAATATTGGAAGTGGATAAAAGTGGACCAATAACTCTGCTGGTTCAGGTACATGTTAAATATCAGTCAAATATCCCATACCACAAACACTATTTTATCTTTCAAGTAAAGACTGTTGTGAAATAACAAGCATTTTAATTACTAGGGAAGTTAGCTTCACAGATTTATTTTAATATA